GCACTTACGATTTCATTAGCCAACTGTGCAGCAAAACAAAATCACTGGCAAAAGATATATCGGTGAATTAATATTTGCCTGCCATCAGGTGACAGACGGTAGTAAAAACGAAACTGGTCCCCGCCGGCATCTCGGGTTTCTCTAGTTTGTCCAATTTGGGCTCCAATTTGGGAACTCAGAAATTAGTCGCTTCGAAAATTTGTGTCTCAAAATGAAACACAGAAATACATATTTACTTACAAAGATAGATTGCCTGATTAATTGGGGACTAAATTTATTAAAACGGAGGAAAATATTTTTAGCAATGTAGAAAAATTAATGGGGGTCGATTTAGATTGAGGCTTAAAGCCATTAACAAGTCTTATTCTTTTTTTTTATTTAGCAAACCAACCTTAGAATATATATCTATATATTAATCTTGTGGGAGTTGCAAGTGTATTTTATTAAATGAATTATTTATAAAAATATTATCTGATAATATTGTCATAAATACTATTTTTCATTTGCAAATACGGTCTTAATATTTATACAGACCTGTTCCTACAAAAATATTAACAAATCTATAAAAGTATACAAAACTGTAAAAGTTTAAGATAGTAACATGATGATTTCATAATTTTTTATTTTAGCTTTAATGTTAATGTGATATTTTGTTGCTCCTTTAGGCCTTCTGTTTCCATTATCTAATTTGAAAAACATAAATATGCATGTATCTGGAGGATCAGTGTCTAATTTATTTATATATTTTTGATCACCGACTGGCTTCGTCTAATCTGAAGGCCCCTTGAGCCCCCCAGAAATCCCAGCCTTGGTTGATTTTCCAATTAACTCGTCGCGAGTTGAGCACTGATCGCCCGAATGAACGCCTTCGATGGCAGCCGCTGCATTGATTTGTCAAATTGACGGCAATAAATCCATCATAACCAGTTACAACTGACAGTTAATCATAAGCACCGCTGACAGGTGGGTCCCATCCCCGCTCCCCGCGCACCACTCCTCACCGCACTTGCCACCTGGCTGTGGGTAATGTATGCGGCTGCCAATCAGCCGATTGTCTTGATATATGCGCCCATTGACCATGTCGGGCTTTTGGGCTCGGCCCAGTGCAAAATGTTGCACCAAATTAATTAAAACCCGTGAGCGGCTAGCCACCCACCCAAAGCCCAACCAACCGCCGCACCGAACCACTGTGGTTGGGTTGACTACTCTAAGTGAAACCACCCGACGGCGATGTGGGACGCCTCTAATACCCAAGCCTAACCTTGTTCGCAACTGACACTTTGCTAAATGCCTACCCCGAGGCTCCATCGCCGGCGAAGGCGAATGCGAATGCGAATGGAACCGAACTGAACTAAGAAAGATACCGAACCGATCCGATCGCGATCGCTAATACCGACCGATATGCTAAGTAGGGGTATCGCCTGCCCGCTTCGCCCGGCACAATTTATTCAAAAGCATTAATTTTTATTTATAGCTTAAGTTTTCGCCGCTGCAGCCAGCCGAAAAGATCTGGACTCGGCCACTCGCAAACTGGCCAACTAAGCCCGGCCATGGGAAAATGAGCCGCGATTCGGGTCTAATGACAGTTATTTATCAATTGGCATTTGCCAGGTGACCATCGGTGGTCCGGCGATTCGATTGTCACGGGAGACCTGTGGGCCACTTAATTTGTAGGGTATAATTAGTATAGGTTATTGCGATGGCTAAATGGTTATCTAAAAGGTAAAAGATTTTAGGAGTGTAACCTTTTTTTTGGCAAAAATGTGAGAAAACTGACAAAAATAATGATTCCAAAAATATCAATTCGGCCATAAAAAAATTTGAAAAACGGTCCAAATATGGAAAGTCATACCTCGTTGGGCTTGTAATTAAATTCTAAACATACTGACATTCAAAGAAAAAAAATGTTTTTTTTGCCATTTTTTTTCGCAAAAAATGACGGGTTACCCCCTTCTTATAAAAAATGCAAAAAATTGCCAAGCATTAATTTTTTAAAAATGTTCCAAATTGTAATTGGGATTGTTTGCCTGGGTTGTCAGCAGAAAAAAATTAGTTAACTTTTTTGACGTAGGACTGTTTTTGGCCAAGTTATGAAAAAATCAAGTATAAAAAAGTCCGTACCAAGATTATCCTCAAATTTTTTTTTATATATCTGAATGCAACGAGTGTAAAATAGAATATTTATCTTCCAATAAAACTGTAACATTAAGCTTCTGAATTACAAATTGTAAAAATTGCATTAATAATCAAATGTCTTTATATATTTTTACCGTCGATTGTGTAACCAAATCACTCTATAAAAACGTAAATTAAAAAGTTGTAAATGAAAAACTATAAAAACTACTACAGATAAGCCTTTAAATAGATTTGGTAAACTAAAAAGTTGTTAATGAAAAATGTTATAACAAATCTGAAGTTAATGCTTTGGCCGAATAATCCGGGTCTTTCATTGGCAGTTAATTAGGCACACGCCACAGCGAAATATGCGGTGGCAAATGAATCTTGAAATCAAAGTCTTCATGTTGCCATTGACAAGTACAAATAAATGGAAATCGTTAAGACCAACCGGTTATCAGTGGGTTAAACTAAGCGTTAAGCGTAAGACAAATTTAGTTGCTGATTCGGGGTATTTACTCCGATCTCGAACTCCGATCTGGGACCTGATCGTACCCGTACTCGTACTCCATGCGTAATTAGCCGCGGCATCGTCGATTTATCATTAAAATGTGGCGACCATAACAAATGCGCCGGCGCCACTCGCTATTTTTATGTCGTTTATTTTTCATTTTCGATATTCGTTTTTATTTGGTTTTCGGGCTTTTCATTAAATATTAGCCACAATTTTGAACGACCGCCGCAGGCGACGCAGCAGGTGAAGATGTTTACCCAGTTACCCACAATTCGGATTTGGATTCGAAGTCGGAATTGCGCAAAGAGTTCCAGTCCGACGGAAATCAATAAAGTATTTTCCAGCTTGTGCAAGTTGCAGATGTCTTCGAATCGGACAGCACTGCATAATGATTTTATTCAATTGCGGAGAACAGAGCGATGTGGCATCGTATGTGGGTGAGTTCGCGATATAACTTGATTATTACTTTGGAAACGCATAAATAGTAGACGGCGACTATGCAGATGGGCTGTCTGAATTAATGACAGTGAGCTATAAGGAATTTGACATCTGCTTATGCAACTATTGGCATTCTTCCATATTTCTAAATACGAGACACAATAATTGAAAACTGAAAAAAACATTTCTTTAGGTGTTCTAAGTCCAGGTAATAATTGCAGTATTATTTCAAGTGAAATTAGAAATTTATGAAAATTGATTTTATGGGGCTTCTCCGCATTTAATCTTCGCTGGCAGTTAGCTTTTAAAGTGCGATATTACCTTAGTATCACGTGCCCGTTCTGGCCGCATTTTGTTTTAGGCCGCGGTTCGATGGCTCTTTATGCCATTCCATTCGGGGGCCACGCCCCCTCGGCCAGACGGCCGCCCCTTTCGGGCCGAGCGACGTGTGCATAAATCTTGCACGCATATTTAAGTTGATGATGTTAAATGGCTGTACTAAAAATACGAAATATGCATGCCGTATGCAGGCAACAGTTTCATCCTGTCGCTTGGTGTGTGGAATGTGCCACGGCACACCACTCTGAACCACACTGAGCCACACTGAGCCACACTGAACCACTCTGCCCCATCGGGCAGCAGCAACATGGCGACATTCATAAACCAAAACTGAGCCACGGCGACTCCTCGACAGCCAAAGGCAACAGCCTCGGAGCCCGTGGGTTTTTGGCCTGGCTTTCGGGCTGGCCAAAAGCCGAACGGCCAACAAAACATTCTGTCCAAAAAGGAAACCGAACTTGCCAACAGGGGAGAAATTTTGGGGTGCACCACACCGAAATTTATATGCACTAGAATATCTGTATTGTAATAAACTAATTTCTATAAAATGGAAAAAAATTTTTTATGAACAGAAAACATCAGCAATTAAAATAAATTTGTTTCATTTTCATAACTAAATAAATTCAAGTTGCTTAATAAAGTGTCACTACTTTCTGTAAGAGTAGCGATTGGTTTTTCTCAGTCACCTTATAGTTTTTTCAATTTTTTTATTATTATTTCTTGGCATGTTTTCTTTTCGCTTAACGGCGGCAGATTTGAAAAGAATTTCTGCTCGCAAATGAAATTGTTTCCTGTTAAAAGCTGAAAAGAAGCAGGCAAGAAAACAAACTGAACGGGCGGAGTGGGTAAATGGCGAAGGACGGGAACATGGATATGGATATGGATGTGAATGTGGATGTGGACGGCACCTGCCGTCGCAACGATTGATGAAATTAAAAGGTATAAATAAAAATCTTTTTAATGGTCTGGGATTTGGAACTTAATTTTTTAATTAAACAAGCCACCGAGGAGGAGGCTGCCGCCGGCGGAGAGATAGGCTGGAATCCAAGGAGGCTGGGGCATTTATGCAAAGCAGAAGCCACTTGGCCACTTGTGTGGTCTGTCCACGGTCTGCTGGCCATGAAAAGGAGGAGCCCGCTCGTAGAGGAGCTCCATCAGCGGGTCCCATAATAACTGTGTTTGCCATGGGCGCTGGCCAACACTTTTACTGCCCGAAGGAGTCGAGGGCCCCGGCCATAACATGTTAATCCCCCAGCACCGATGTCAAATGTCAGCACATGTGATTTGTCATCTTGGCCAGGAGGAGCCTTCGCTGCAGAGGACTCTGCGTCGGTGGTCGACTCCTTTGCATTGTCGCCCTGGAGAACATTTGTCACTGGAGGCGGGGACCACCTATCTTGTTCTTGACCGCAGTTTACATGTCCCTCCAACACGGCCAGGAATGTGCAATTGATATTCTACGAAATCAGAGGACCAGACCAACGACTCTGATGTAATTATTCTTTGGCGGACGGCAAAAGGTGATAAGAAACTCTAGAGCTTTAAAATCAAGCTTACTTACTTTTCAGTCCTTAGGAATAAATACGAAAGTCGCTTTGAATTTATATATATTTTTTATTTATACGATTTCTCCGCACACATTCGTAAACCAACAAAAAGGAAACAACTGAGCATTTTGAGAATAGTTTTGAAAATGAAGCAAACTTAAACGAGAAATGAAAAGTGTTGAATATTTTGTTGAGGCTTTTTATTCAATTTCTAGTGTGTTGTTACTCGTTTTAATACAAAGAAATGCAATTAAATAGTCGTTTATATAGTCGTATATATAAGATAGAGATTAATAGAGTTGGGGAGTTGGGGAGACAGACTTGGGAGAAAGTGGATGAGAGTGGGGGTGGCGCAGGTGTTATACATGGGCGAAAGAATCATTTTGCTTTTATACATAAATAATTACATTTAATGCTCGGCTTAGGATTAAAACATATTACAATGTACAATGGTAGAAGTGTTAACTTAGGCGTATGATTAAGTAGTTAATTAAACGTAATTAGTAGAAAGAAAAGTGCAAATGAATTTACAAATGACAAATGACAATCGGTCCCCGCTCCACTCCAATCGACGCGATTCGTTTCGATTTGATTCGGTTCGATATAGGTTTAAATAAATAGTTTCTGCTGTGGTAGATATAGTCATCGGTTAATCGAGTTCCCTCTTCGCCGTCGATTCAACATAAGAATTTTGTTTATATTACAGCAACGCGCATACGTATAAGTACAGTAGTTCAATTCAAGTTGTGTGTCTGTGTTCCGGATTCGATTCGGTTTCGGTTTCGGTTTCGTTTTCGGTTTTTATTTAGTTGAGTGCTGCTTCAATGCCTAGTTAAGTTAATAATTAATCGTTCAATTGTTAAATGGTTTCTTGTCTTAAGTACACACTAATTAAATTTTCACCTAAGCATCTTGCTTTAACTTCTTTTTGTTTGGGTTTTCTTTGTTCACTTTAAATTTACATTCATACATATCTCTACATATAAACTTGACGCTTCAGTTTTCGGTTTTTGTGTTTACGCATTTCCCTTCAAATTGTTTTAATTTCGCATATTTGGTTTGCTAATATGTTTGAACTATTTATTTTAAATATTAATATAAATATATGAGAAACAATTTTTGCATATCTTTTTCCATGTTCGTTCACATATGCCTATATGTGTCTATATATATATATTCGTATGTAGAAAAGCAGCAGTTGGTTTCTTTTTGCTGTATTTTGATTCAATTTGTAGTTTTAGTTTCTTAGTTGTTCAATTGTTCAATTAATGAATATAACGTTGCTTATTCAGTGTGAATTTTGGTGTTTGGTTGCAGTACATATCCGGATACATACGTTAGTAGTTCTTTAAAATTTTCCATTGCTCAAAATTTGTTTCCATCCGCCCTCCAATTTGGATATTGCCCGCAATCTGTGCCCTAAAATCAATTTTCCATGCTGACCACTTCAACAACTCTTTGTATTTGCTTAAAAAATTCGGTTTATTTTGAATGGAGTTCTTCTTTTTCGTTCATCTAGCCCAATTTCGATCGCTTGTGCCTAGTAAAATTGTTTAATATTTAGTTTTTACCTTTTCTTTTTTGGAAGTGTTTTGCTGTGCGAATTTGTTACCGTTATCGTTATCGTAATCGTTATCGTTATCGTTACCGACTCTTAGTTCTGCTTGCGTATGAATTTAAAAAACTTCTTCATTCGTTTCCCGTTCGATTTTTTAAATTTGTTTGCTAATTGGTTTTTGGTTCGTTATAAAATTTTGAAAATATATGCATATATGTATATAATATATATCGATTTTTGTTTGCATTTGTATTTATTAATTCTCATTGCTAATATATTTAATTGATTTAGTAAATCAAAAGTTTGCTACGCTTTTTCAGTGCATTCGAAACGTTTATTTGCTTGCACTTGAATGTCGCGCTTTCATAATTTCCATTTCAACAATTTAGCATTTTGTTTTCGATTATCGCTATCGCTTCGGTTCATCATTTGTTTTTTTTCTTTGTTAGTTTATATAGCACATACTCGTAAATAAAAATCTTATTGTCTTTTCATTTATAACTATGTAGCAGTTCTGCGAGTTCGTTGACTGCGGCCTCCCGAGTGCAGTTGGTGGAGTCTTCACTGTACTCGCTACTGGATGAAGTGCGGCCTGAGTTATCGTTATCGGTTCTGCGCCCGCCGCCGCTTCCGCTTCCGGTTTCGCTTGTGTGCAGTGTGCTTTTAGGCGTGGTGCAAGTGCAAAGTCCTGTCTGAGTCGAGGTACTGAACAGTAAGCAACTCCTTTGTATATCGAGTTCTATATATGTTTATATATATGTATCAGTTCATTATAAATTTGAAATATTTATCCATAAGTGTGTTTCTTCTTCATTTATTTTTGCCTAAATTCATTTGAAAACTGAGTACTGAGTATAGGTATGCCTCTCTTTAGCAGTTCTGCTTTGGATTTCACTTTCACAGATATTGCTTTGAATTTGAATTGAAAAGTTTACTTTTTGTTTAAGCTTCTGTTCTCCATTTCGGATTTCTTAAATTTGGTTTGGAAAAGTAATAAGAAAGAATTTTTCTATCTATGGAAGTGAAACCGATAGTAGAATTGCAATCAAAGAGCTATTAGCCAAATATTGCTAGTCCCTAACTACTACGCGAATCTCTGGTGAGTGAACCAGTGCAGTGTCTTGTTCGGCCTGATCCTGTTCATGCCGATGCGAATGGGTTCCGTCAGATGGGAAGTGGTCGAGGTGGGCAGGAAGCCGCTGAAGCCGCCGTCGGAGCTGTTGGTGCCGCCATTCCCCTCCAGGTCGCCATCGTACACCACGGGATACACGCTGATGTTGTCCAGGTTGTCGATGTCGATGTCCCCGCCCGCATTCCGCACGTAGGTCAGCTGGTGGTAGGGCGTGGCCATCAGCTTCCGGGTGAACTTCCGCACGGGCTTCTTCATGGTTGTTGCCGCCGTAATGCTGGATGTTGTCGCTGCCGTTGGCGATGCCTCCGTCAGCGTGTTGTTCAGGTTGCTGTTGATGTTCTTGTCCACGCTGAAGAGCGAAGGAGCAACATGTTGCTGGGGTGCTGTTGCAGCTGTTGCAGGAGTGCTGGGTAGCTGCTGCTGCTTGGGAGTTGCCAACGAAGTTGCTCGCGTGCTGCCACGTGTTGCAAGCGGCGGCTGCAGGGTCCAGAGCAACTTGCGTGGCTGCTGTGGCTTCACCTCATTCTCGCCCGCCAGCAACATCTTGGAATTGCCCGAGTTTTCCGGGGGATTTTCCCTGCTGTTGCTGCGACGCCTGCTTGGCTGTTGCGTGCTCTGCATTTTTTCAGTCTGACTGGTTGCCGTTGGTGTTGCCCGCGTGCTGCTGCTGCTCATGTTGTTTGTGTTGCTCATGTTGCTGGTGTTGCTCCTGGCCAGCGGCGTCTGCTCGATCACCAGCTGCGATCCCGCCGTCGAGGTAGTTGTGGCCGCTGTTGCCGCTACTGCTGATGTTGCTTTGGTTTCGATTGCTGCTGTGGATTCCGCCTCCGAATACGAATCGTCCACCAACTCGGGCTCGTACTGCAGCAACTCGGTCTCGTTGCCGCCCATCTCGGGCGTCTGGGCCGAAGCCTCGGCCTCCAATTCGGTGATGTAGGTGGCCCAGGCGTCGTAGTTGCTGCTGCTGCTGCTGCTGCTAATACTGTCTTCAGATGTTGCTGTTGTGCTGCTGCCGCTGCCGCTAAAGCTATCGATCGTGGACCAGGTGGACCAGGGCTCCAAACTGGAACTGCTGCTGCTGCTGTTGTAGGGCTCCAAGTCCTCAAAGCCCGTGCTGCTGCTGCTGCCGTAGAGGGTGTCGTCGGTGTACGGCAATGTTGCTGCTGTGGCAAGCAGCTGCAACTGCTGTTGCTGCTGTGCCTTCGGCCTGACCTTGCCCTTTCTTCGCCTGCCCTTGCGCCTGCTGCTCAGTGTTGCTGTTGTTGACAATTGTGTTGCTGTGGTCAGCGATGCTGTTGCTGCTGCTGCTGCTACTGTGGATGTTGCTGTTGCTGTTGCCGGGGATGTGGCTGCAATAGTTGCTGTTGTTGTGGCAGACATTCGCTTCGTTGGACTAGCTGATACTCGTTGTTGTTGCTGCTGCTGTTGCTTCTGTTGCTTGCGTCGCTTCTGCTTCTTCTCGTGTTGCTGTCGTCGCAGCAGCAGCGATGGATCATTGTGATGATGTCGCACCTGGTGTTGCTGCTGCTTCTGCTGCTGTTGTTGCTGCTGCTGCTGCTTCTGCCGGTTTATCGCTAATTGCTTTTTGTTAGTGCTACTTAAACTAGTACTACTATTATTAAGAATAACTTTATTATTATTATTATTATGGCCATGATGCTCCTGTTGCTGTTGCAACTTTTGATTTTGGTTATTCGATTTGTGGCGATTGTTTTTGTTGTTGCGCGGGGGCTTCCGAATGTTGCTGTTGCTGCCACTGCCATTGCCACTGCCACTGCCACTGCCACTGCCACTGTTGTCGTTGCCATTGTCGTTGTTGTTGTTGTTGTTGTTGCTGTTGTGGTGATGGCGGTAGAACTGCTCGGCATCGATCTTGTTAAACATGTAGCAGGCATCGTTGACGCTCTTCTTGGGCCCCACAGGCTTACCTCGGTGCGTGAACCCGACACGTCGCTGCAGATCGACAACGGAACGGAACACGAAATAACCGTGCACGATGGTCTCGTTGAAGTAGCAGGTATCTCGCAGTTCCCTCTGCAATCGGAAAAGATACATAGAGATATATGGCGATTAGCTTCCGCGCACTTCACATGCAATTTATGAGCGGCGTTTCCGTCCAACAAAAGGTCCACAAGGTGTTGTATAGTATATTGTTTGTGGTGGATGTGGATATTCTGATACGCGTATCGACAACGATGACAGCGACATCATCGTGTGAGGAGCGAACGTTTAGTCTGCCTTCTGTTTATTTATAAAACACTTGAAATCTCGAAACGACAACCAAGTGAAACGCGGCTTATGACTTGGATGTTCCAATACCCTGGGATTCTCTTATTCGGGGATATAAGATTGCTCTTCTCTGCTGAGTGGGTTAACTGTGATTTTATAAACAAAAATTATAGGCAATGGGAGTATTGGTAATTTTAAGATTTTTTTACTATATCGAAGTCTGAGGAAATGGTTCTTACGATTGATTGTTAATCTGCTCCACATTGTTAATAAGCTAAATGAATTTGATAATTCCAGGGTACTTAATGAACCTATATTCTATCTCACAGCCTCTCCATCAAAAAGTTTGAGCGCGTGTTGCTGTCGTGTTGGCCATTTCTGCTATCAGCGGTCCGATCTGATCGCTCAGATCGCGGCGATTGCGGCCCAAAGTGTTGCGAACGACGCAGATGGAACATTTCCCAAGCAATTAAGACCTGTGCCATATTTGGCGACGGACTGCTGCTCTTGGCCCCTCGCATATTTATAGCTCTTAATTGCTATTTTTGAGATGCTTCTCACCATTGGTCAAGTGCGCCAGAGTGTTTGGGGTAAACACAGTCGTTCTATTTCGAGAAGCGATCGAGCAGTAATCAATATGTGACTCACATCCCGACTTAGCGACCTCGGCCCACACATTAACCTTCCCGAGAAAAGCCGCCTAAGATATCGAATGGCGTGTAAATCACTGTTATTGTTTGCACAATAATTCAGCATGGATTTTGCGGTCATAATCGAAAGCAATAGAACAGCAATAGAACCGCACTAGAGTGACAAGTGACCTTAGGTGGGCCATTGTTTGCCCAGAGCTCGAGTGCGGTTTAGCTAACTAACTGTACTGCGAGAGTGGGGGAAAGGACATTGAAATGTTTTCGCAATTACCACATAACTCCGGCGATTAAGTGCCGCGTCATCCGACTGATTGATTAGACATATCAAACCGTCAATTGCGAGTTGTTTGATTTTTATGATGGAAAATCTCGTACCTCGAGTGCCGGCACTTCAACGGCTGACATTGAAACGGGCCCGCGAAACTGTTACAATGTCTCGAAAATTTGATTTTCCATTTCCACCGAATCGATCCCCCAAACAGTTTCAATCAATTGCTCCACGCGATATCACGCATACGCCGCGTAAACGTATCTCCACATCTGTGCCACATTCGGCCGTAATTGCATATGAAATTGTTCGCATTTTCGAATTACAAATTACAAAAATATTGTAATAAATATTTTGTTCGGCCCGCTGACAGATTTGGTGCAACCGCAACAGGTTTTCACCCATTGTGGCTGACAATTTGGCCAGGTCGCCGTAATATGGGTATTGTCGTATAAGCGATCGTTTGCATAAAGCCATTATGTGGAACATGTCATAAATTACAGTGTTTGTACAGTTAGTTTGCATAAAAATTAAGCCGGGGAAAACGGAAAAAACGGAAAACGCTTGGCGCTTTGCACTTTGTCAAGTACGAATGCAATGCAATCAAAATCGCTGCAACGGGCCTTGGCTATATCAGCATCTATATACCGGCAGAACAAATATTGTCGAGCATATAATTATGGCTATTGCCGGGCAATTTGCTTGCCCAAGATGCCATAAACTTTATCTATCCATAAACAAATCGTGAGGAAATTCCCTTTCATCTTGGCGATGTGCTTTATCTATTGTGGGGATGAACCTCGAGTGATTCACTTCTCTTTTTGTGAATGGAGAACCCTCAAATTTACAACATACTCACCATGCCAACTAATCTCCAATTGTCGTTGAAACACAAATATCTTTGAGTTTCTTTTGCGTGCAGTGCTATTTTGAATTCGTTGTTCAGATAATCCGGGAAGCCGACTATCGTTATATTTTCTGAAAAATACAAAGGCGAAAACAACAAATTAATGCCATTAGTTAATCAGCTTGGCGAGCGTTTTAATTGATGTAAATATTTGGCGGGCAAAAACATTTTTAATTAAAGGCAAACATGGCTCTTTTCGTCGAAGTGATTAAGCGTGCCAAAACGGAAGGGGGTTTATCATTAACATTTAGGTACAGGTGTGTACAAGACTCGAACTTTGACCTTAGACAAGCCACGTGCATAGGCGGATATTACTTAACGAACGTTTGTTATCTACATAAAATGCTTCAATGGAAACGGGAACACATTAGCATCCTACATATATATTCATATACACTAAGCTCATTGGATTGCAAAGTCTTTTATGGATTGCTAAATTAGTCAAAGGAATAACTTCATTCATGGCTTGATACATTGACTTCTTGAAAGCGTTGTTTTATTTGTCTTCTGAAATTTCAAAGACCAAAACAATTTCCCAAAATAGTCTGAAAATGCATTAAACGTCTAAAAGTCAAGTAGCTAAGGTGCGCATGCTCTCTCCGCTAATTATAAACGAACAATGTAAGTCCGCAGATGGATCCGCAGTATCTGGCGTTGTGTGTTACAGATACAGATACAGATACAGTATCTGTATCTGGCCTCGGCAGGCTATTGAACTTCGGCGGGGAGGACGAGGGATGCGGCCACAAAAGTCACTAATAAGTAAAGCACTTGAAAAGCCAAAGAAAAAGGCAACACGAGGAGAAAAGCCACTCGAGTTAGATTGATAGGTGACTGGGTTCGGCCCCGGTCGCAGTTTCAGTCTCAGTCGTCTGCCATTCTGCCAGTAATTAAATTTATGCACACAAATTCTTGGCAAGAGTCGCTTGGTCTTGGTCTTGGTCCGGGCTATGAGTTCTGGGCTCTGGGTTCTCAGCTCTTGGCTCTTGGCTCTTGGCTCTTAGCTCGTAGCTCTCATATTTCATAAGCCGAGGCAAGCCGAGGGCTTGAGTGACTCTGTGCTTCACACCTTTGGCCGCCGGTGGCAGCCACTTGTGCCTCTTGCCCCAGGGAGCTCCCTCCGTTGTTATTCTTGTGATTCACGGCCCGGCCGCTCGACTGGCTTATTGATTTCATTAGTTTGGCGACACAAACGGCACAAACCAGTGGAGCACCCTCCGCAGGCAGGCTGCACTTGTGAGTGCGCACTTGGTTGAAAACTGGGAGAAAAAATGATATCCTTCAAATACAGACATAAAGGCTATATACGATACTTTTAGAATAAACTAATTTGTCTTCAGAAATACTTAAACAAAGTATTTGTGGTACAAGGAGGAATGCATGCTGAAAAATACTTTGAAATAAATTTATAGTTTCACTGTTAATTTTATAAAACTTTTCCCTCAGTGCACTGCCACTTGGAGTCTCGGTTACAGTACCCTTTTTATTTGCCCCCTGGAGGCAAACTTCGATCCACCGCCATTGTGACATATTTGCCTACTTGATTTCGCAGCCGAGCAGGAAGTGCAAGTCCATCGAGGGTCTAGATGTACAGATAAGCAACGGTAATATTGTTGCGGTCTTGACGGCTTGGTTAAGCCAACAGTCAAGAGCCAATATCGTTGAACTCCGAATGACTTTGACATTGAAAGTGGCAGGGTTCCTATTCCTAACATCTGATTTTAGTGGGCTGCCCCTCCGAAAATAAGCCCCAAACTAGAAAAGCCAAATGTTTATTTTTATTTACCCGACACAATCCGCCGACTCCCAAAAAAAGCCATCAAATGCATTTTAGGCTTCGGAATTTTTATGGGCCTCGATCTTTTTGGATATTTTAGAGATCTTCGCTACGGGTTTGTTTTTCACTCAATAAAAAGCCACGATCGGGTCGCATTTTTGCCGCATGTTATTAAGATTTTAACAACCAAATCTTCGTCTTCTGCCGAGTTTCTAATTAAGTTATTAGTCATGGTGAGTGGAATTTTCGTCTCGTCTCGTTTCGTTTGGCTTCGAAAGGGCGTTCGAACAGAGAAGTGCATCAGCATAAATATGGCAAAATAAAGCCAACGAAAGGCGTTTTCAGATGCTATCGATAGCGATTGAAATGGGGGCGTGATTTGTTTTTGAGAAGTAAAGCGATGGATATAGAATTTCGAGCGGGTCGGTCGTTCTAATTTATTGGTATTTATGGCTTTGAACGATAGCGACTTGTTGGCCATAATTTAATTTCCACTAAATGAAGGCTGCGACGTCATATTATTGACGTCACTAAATGGCGCAGATCCATAAACAAACGATACGAATTTCGTACCTGGTGGGTGAATTGCGAATTTGTTAAAATCTTTATTATTAGCTGTTTTTTAACCCTCATATATCATAACATCAGTTAATAATTTCCTGCTTTTATTCGTTTCTGAGTTTTTATAAATATCTCAGTTTTTGAAACGGGCCACCAGCTGCGCACAGCTTTATTTTGTGGGTCGTAAAAACACAGGGTTTGATATATAATATTGAAAGCTGGAATATGTAACAAATGACACACTCAGAGGGAAGCCTAAAACGAGCGAATCAGGCATTACTATATGCTGGAATGATCAGGAAAACAAAGAACCCGGCCAGCAAACAAACCATAAAAAACACAGCCAGAAACAACGGTCGAATCGCTAATCAAATATGCAAGCAATGAGCTTCATCAACATAAAATTAAAAAATCATAAAATGCTAAACTGCACAGCATGAACAAAATCCTAAAATCAAAACCGAATCGAAATAAAACAAAAATCAGATATCTCGCCAACGAGCCGGGGCGTCAAAATGCCTCGTAATTGCGGCACATGTACGAAACTCATCAGAAACGAAACTCGGAAAAAATTTTACGATCCAGCCGTGTACATATGGATATGGTTAACACCGACTCGATCACTTTGTCATTCCATCAGCATGGTCTTCGCCTCCAACTCCGGTTTGAGTTATGGGATCTGTGTGGATAGTGGCCAAGAGATCGGTGGGCGTTGCCAACTCTCATCTCTTCCCGGCCTGATAGCATAAATCGCAGCTTATCGATCTCTATGATAATCAAGAGCCATTTCCGTGGCATATTTATCGGGCGGGACTAGCCCTATTCGATTTTACTTTCCAGATTCTACTTTCACTCTTGTGTGGCTTATTTATGCGGAAAAGAATTTCACGTCGGCTTATGATTTAAGGAGGAGATTTACAGAGTTGAACTTTAAATAAATGCAAACAAATGACCGGAAATGCAACTTAGATTTTAGAAGCAGGCGATACAAAATCTCTGCAGGTTAACTATAGCATATTCCAAGCTGGCTTTGTATCAATGTAAAAACCTAATGTTATCCTTGGCTTTGGAGCGTAACTTCCCCCAGATCATTGCCCCTAGGAGTCCCAATAGTTCCAGGAATGTCGTCTGAGGCATTCACTTCGATGGCTGCATTCCCGGAACTTTTACGCTGACGACTGCAGTCGGGCTCTTTGGGTTCTGGAGTCTGGAGACTGGGGTCTGTAGTCTGGGGTCTTGCGTTTTGAGTCTGGGTCTGGGTAAAGCGTCTTAGATTACACTCGGCCCTAAGTAATTGCATTTTGCATTTTCCATTTTGCATATGCTGCAACGTCAACAAACAACTGCGATTTGTCACATGCTGCAACTAGTGGCCCTGGTCATCATCGGTATTGCTTTTGGTATTGGCTTGCGTTTTAGTTTTGTTTTTGTTTTTGTTTTTGTTTTAAGTGTGGATATTGGTATTGGCATCGTCATCGGAATCGCCGTAGTTGCAGTCACTATGCGCGGCATAAAGTATACGTGTAGTGGTCGCCAGTTATTGACGATTTTGTCACGTTTCCTGGAAGAAACCGTTTTATTTGCTCGCCTGGTGCCGCGGCTGGCATTTCGGTTTGTTTTGTAAGCGGAGAGCGGCAAACAAACTGCCCTGGGCCTGGGCCAAAGGAAAACAAACCTCAACTTGCAGCCATTTATCAGTTTCGACCTCCACTCGACTCCGCACCCCGCTCCCCGCTCCCCGCTCCACACCCGGATTGCACTACTAGCGCTAATTGCATTGGCACGCCCTGCAGACGAGACCTCGACTCTGGTTCCAGCTCCATTTCCACTGGCCGGCTCCAAAGTCAGCTCGAATGCCACGAAATTAGCGCCATTTAATGTGGAGCGTACTCGGGTTTTACGCACGATTCTTCCACTGACGCCACTCGAATCGCTGCCCCCGGGAATTGGTTGCAGTGCATTGGGGCACAGGGGGCGAAAGGGGCGCAGAGGCCACGGTGTCAATGAGTTAATTAGCGCACGATTTGTCGCCCCCACAACAGTAGACATGCACTGAGAAAAAAGGGGGATAAAGTATAGCTAGTTTAGATCTCCAGAAAAGAAGCACCCATCATTGATGGCATCGTCAAAACCTGATATGATATTTCGTTCTTAATTATCATGCAATAATTATTTCGAATTCACATTTTTATATATTGTAGTTTTTCCCAGTGTATTCAAGTGCAAAGAGGTGGTAGAGAAGAGTATTCCCTCTGCTCTTCATGTGGGTGGTTCCCCTCCAGAAACTCTTGTGAAAGAAAATCTCTTCTTTTATTGGAGTCTCGCAGCCCATTTCTGGGTCACATATCTTGGACTCTACACGGCGTTTTATTTGCTTATAATTTATGTTGCCCCGATTGAATTTTGTGGTCCACCAAATCAAGAAAAAGCAATTAAAATTATAGAAAAATTCGAGATAAAATTTATAAGCGAGACCGTTTCAAGAATTTTTGTTGAATTTGATTAAAATAACCGTAAAATGTAAAAGCCTAAAAGCATTCGATGTTGCTCCAGTTTTTTGTGTTTGAAGTGCAAACTTGTAGTTTTCTGAGTAAAGTGAGTTAGCAGTGAGTTCATAAATGTGTTCTGAGACATTTACGTGATCGTAACGCTTTTGTCATTTCCTTGAACACGTCACTTCAGGCTACTAATTAATTTATTTTATTAATGGAAACCCAATCAATTCGCTGTCTG